TATCAGCTATATTTATTATTATGATATAAAAAATTCTTCATATAAGAAAAGGTATTAGAGTAAGATTTTGCAGAAAGACGCCTTTACGGTAATTTTTTCTCGTAAATTAGGTTTTTTTTTATTAGGGTATTTGTTACTGTGTTTTGATTTGAATGGTGAATATGTGTCAGTACAATTAGTAAAGTAAATATAAAAGTAATAGATTTTCTCATCCCAAAGCCCATAAAGTCAAGATGGGCTCCAGACCAGATGTATTCTAGTGAATACTGATTCTAACATAGTATAGAATAAAGAAAAAATATGTAAACATAATTGTTGGATCTCATATTTTTAATGCTCAGTTATAAATAGTGACATACGTTACACATAGTACAATAAGTGACAGACAGTATTGCAAGTATTAATGAGCTGTGGTGGTTAATTACCGTTAGATGAACCGTCTTCTTGATTACGCAATTTAGTAGTATATTAAAAAAAGAGACGGAAAGAAAACAAAATTCTAATTTTAAACATACTACAAAAAGGAAGACTCTTAATTTAACAAAAGTTTATTCCGCAATATTCTTACCGTGAACTGATTAACTAAACGATTACAAGAATGACAAATGTGCATGGTGTTAGTCGATTATGTACGAGCTTTTTAATGACTATGTAATTTAAGGCATAGTACATTTAAATATACAAAATGTTAATAAAGATTTAAAACAACTAACTAAAACAAGTAACTGTTGAGTTTTTGCGAATTAGTTTCAGCACATAACAACATTCCGAACCCTGCAGTAGACTCATAAAAAATTACAATTTAAAAGTGCTTGTTAAGAACTCTATTTGAGTAAAGATTATTTGTATTTGAATTTGATTTCTAAGAAGGTTATAATTTTTTTCGCAACCGATAACAATTTCTCCTAATTTCATATCATGCTAACGATTAAATTATAATTTTTGTTAAGACAAAATCATAAAACATTGTTTATCCAATTTGTTACTCACTGATAGCATAATGACAGGCTAGCCTACAGAGAGGCTAAGAGATAATACTAAGGGTTCAATTTTAATTACTTGATTATTTACCGAACCCTAAAATAATCCTTTATAAAAGTAAGGGATGAAGCGTATTACATTTGATTAGATAAGTATGAAATATAAAATAGTCGGTGATTGCACCATTTGGAAAAGATTGCCACCTTCACTCTATTCTATTGAGAATTCACTAGCATAAAACTCGAATGTATTAAATTACTTAGTAAGATATCGATTTGTCGGAACAGTAAAGGCCAATGTACTTTTGTGATGCAAGTAGGTATGTACTTTCACACATTGTATTTTTTGCTTAAAAAATCTGAGTAACGGATTTCTTTTATTCTGTATGCTTTAATTAAAACTGGAAACTATTTTAAAGTTTTTATAAAATTTTATTTTCATTAGTACATGTAATTGTTAACACCATGTATGAAACTAGCTTTCCAATTAAAAATCTACACTTGTATTAAAAAGATTTGATTCTCTGTATATTTGTTTGTTTGTGATGAATAAACTCTAATTAACCGATTTTAAAAATTTATTAACCTATAAGAGCCTACATTATCAGTGAGAAATATGTCGATATATATTTTATGATAAAATAATTAAGATTGTGTTTCATAAAAAAATTGTGGAAAATTAGTGTTTTGATTACAAAACTTTAGTTTTGTAATCAAAACAGTAATAGTAGTTTACTACTGAACCGATTTGGATAAAAATTCTATGGAACTTATCTATAAGTATATTCTTTCAGATAAAAAAATAATTTTCCAAATCAGTTTATAATTGACGGAGGTATGAGGTAACAAACAGAAATACAAAAAACAACCGAAGAGAATCGAAAAGGAGGTTCACAAAGCTCCTTGACTTTGATGTTCGTTGAAAAATAAAATATAATAATGTAATCTAAGATATCAGAAATTTCCCTATAAAAGTCATTGATTGGAGTGCCCTGCGAAAACTAATATAAATATATTATTCTTATTACACTTATTCGATGTTCCATTACGAAGAACAGAGTTCGCTAAGCAGGCTCCCCTATCTCTTGCATTGAAACTACTCAATGATGTTTTGAGCCAGTATCCGCAATTGGATCCTCCAACTTGCTGGAGTTTCGTCGGGTGACCACAGAGTATTTGTGTTCAGACGTTTTTGTTTATATATTATTCTTGTTGTATATATGTAATATTCTATATGTTGTTGTATTCATGCTTTCCTGGGTGGGCGTATTGGGAGACTGTAAGGCTCACCCAGTGGATGTAATAAATAAATAAATAAATAAATAAATAAATAAATATGTATTCCATATTTAGTGTATTCATCATTACTCATAAAAATATCCACGAGACTACATATATAACTATTACTATTATTACTATTATAACCTTTTTTGTTCAATTTATTTAATAAAAACAGAATAGAATCGAAAGACGATGATATTATCTATCATATATCATGACATTTATTCTTATCTAAATTCTTATTAAACACGTACATTTTACATTTACATTTTTCTTATTTTGTAATTATTTGAATCGGCTGATACGGACGGTATACATTGGCGGGGCACCAGTGAGGAATGATAAATGAGAATGAAAAGGCAGGTCAGTTAGCCTACCGTGATAAATATACTTAGAAGTCGGCACGTGGAGGTCGACCTAATAGGGTATATTGCTAGCAATGGGACTGGTAGTCCGCATTACTAACAATCCCTTCCCCTCCAATTAATTGTTGTTACATCCTATTTGTTGATATAAAGTACAAATTTAAGTTATTTGTCTATCTGTTTATATATCCCTGCGAAGCTGGGGTGAGTTACTAGTATAATTTATAAAATCTAAATTATACTTATAGTAATTGAAGCATGAAATGTAAAAGAAATATTTTTATTTGATAAATAGTCCATAAAATATCGTAAACTTTGTTTTATAATATACTCATAAAAATGATTTAATTTAACATTTCTCTTAGCGGGTTTCGTAGAATTTTCCCTCTTGTGTTCCACGGAATTTCATTCAGGAATATTACACCACCCTTAAGCTGCATATATGGTATATACCGATAAGAAAATAAAGAAAAATTACAGGAGTAGGTAGAAGCGCGCGTACTTTCAAATTCGTTAGTGTTTGTTATTTTGACTCTAGACTAATGTTATGCCTCTGTTTTAATGAAGCACTTGATTGCTGATTGATAAAAGCCTTAAATATATGAAGCACGTGAAAGACAATTTAAATGCAAATTTTTGTAATTAAGGGTAGAAAATTAATTTATTTTTATTATATAACTCTTTGAATCACAACTTTAACCTCATGACCGTGATATGTCTATTAATCGGGAGGGGGGGGGGGGAGGGAGGAAGTGGCCACGTCCTTCTTTATCCAAAATAGTATTCTTTATTCATTATAATTTATCATTTATTCCTTATGATGTTTGGTTTTGCCGGTACCACGCTAAGAGGGAACATACATACAAGCTCATTTTCACTTTTATAATATTAGCACGAATTAGTAATGATAGAGTATTTTAGTAATTGTGTGCTACCAAAGAACACAATTATTGTCATATTTATTCTTAAACACTTGAAAATTTGCGTCTTTTAAATTTGCTTAGAAGCAGACAACGAACCTAAGGGGAATATAAGTTCTTTTTATACTTTCAGAAATAGATACATACTACATAGGTGATGGACTAATTCTAGGTCATATCTAGATTTTAATAATTATTTTTAAAAATAATTGGTATCCCGTGATTTCGGCCATGCGAATCTTCACGTAATGTATCTTACAAATATATCCTAAGATAGGATATGATATATCGGTCACGACGACCGCTTTGACTCCGCTATTATTAATTAATTGCCTGCAAAAGGGCTGTTGTTGGCGTTGGTATGCTCGGTTGTAGCTTATATAGTCAATCTTTTTAATAACAGTTGTTGCACATAGGGGGCATGTAAGTACACCATCACTGTTACAATGATAATATCGTCATAGTCGTAGAATACTGACGGATCTATATATTTAAAGTTTTTTTTTTTTTTACAACACAGGGGGCAAACGAGCATGCGGCTCACCTGATGGTAAGTGACTACCGCCGCCCATGGTCACCCACAACACCTACGGCATTGTAGGTGTGCTACCGGCCTTTTAAAAAGGAATATGCTTTTTTCTTGAAGGTTATGTTGTCGAATCGGTTCGGAAATACTGCTGCTGGAAGTTGATTCCAAAGAGTGGTTGTGCGTGGGAGAAAGTGCCTTGAAAAACGCACGGTGGAGGACCGCCACTTGTCCAGATGGTTGGATGAAATTTTAGTTTATATATTTATTTTATAGTTTATATATTTATCAGATCCGTTAGTATTCTACGACTATGACGATATATTGCTGTTGGTGGTCGAGCTTTTATTTCGTCTCTCTTTACATTTAGTTAAGAAAGATGCGAGATTTCACAATTATTAATTTTAGTTAGATCTTAGTTAAGTAAGGATATAACCTATCCAAACATTTAAATCTGTTTAGTAGTATTTGCATGAAAGAGTAACAAACATTCATCCATATAAACATGCTCGCAAACTTTTGCATTTATAATAGTAGTGAAATTCGTGATGTCAAAGATATCACCATAAGGAGATTTTATGCAAAAGTAGTTTTCGTAGGTACCTAGCAATATTTAATTCGTATTATGGCGTGAAAGTGCTGTATCTACATAACTATGTTTCAGTTTGAAGTTTAATATGAAAGAAATGACAGAATATTGAAACTAATAAGAATACCTTAATATTCAGGAACAGCAACGCATGGGGTAGAAAATTAAACCACATACGTTAATTATAGTTTAAATGAACATCTATTGTCTAATAATTCTACGAATCAATTATTTTATCTTAACATAAATTTAAACATATTTAATGGTAAAATCATTAATATAATAAAGAATAAAAGAAAACTATTTAGGTAAATCAAATATCTTAATAAAACAAATTAATTTAAGCATCAATTTATTTCAATTTACACATTCATTTGGCAGTTTCTTTTTGTAGCAATTAGGTAAATTACAGTATTACAAAAGTCTGTTTGCTCAATGGTATCAATGACAGTTGCTAACTTCTAATATTTACAGCAAAATATAATTACTTAACAGTAAAAAAATGCTGTTCAGTAATTTACAGGCAATCAGTGATGACAAAAGAAAAAAAATATCTAGATACTAAAGCACAGAAAGTTGGTTTACGTATTTTATACATTACTGTATACATTAATCTAATAGCTCTGGAAAGTACGTACTCATATATACCTACACAAAGTTCGTGTTGGACAAGTAAGTGGGTCTATTACCAAATATTAATGTCTAATTAGGCAACTTTTTACAAAATCGATGTAGTAGAAAACTGGTATACAAACATCGTCTAGTTAAGAATGAATTAACGAATTACAAAATAAACAAATTAACACTAAATAAATTATATATACTGATTTAAGAAAAATATATTTACATGTAATTTTATAAAAATGAGGGGAAACAAATAATGTAGACTTTATACAAAAAAAAAAATTAAAACATTATTTACCTTTAAATAAATGAAGTTCAACGACTGACAAGTTATTGTCCATCCATGCAGTAAAAAAGGAACTTTCATATTAAAACAGAATCACAGATAAAATTATATAAAAGACGTATTGACTATCACGAATACAAATAAAGTCTTGTCAATAAAGTGTAGCACAAAAAAAAAGTTATCACAAACGGATTTGTTCTTTGTAGATTTGCTGAATTGTTGTCGTCGTCGTAACCTGTAACAAAGGGTGTTTTTAATAAGCATAATCTTGAATTCCTCATATCTAGAACGCTGTATAATATGAAAGCAATTTATAAGTAGCTTTACGCTACTTCAAATAAAACTATTGCATTGCATGAATATTAAACCATGCGTTGCTGTTCTATGTTTATTGTTATGCCAACCAACTCCGTGTAATTAATAGTAATATCAACTATTTAAACAATCTAAACTATAACTTTAATATTAAGCATTTATTAAATACTAGTGTTTTTCTATGGCTTTGCCTGCGTGAATCAGTGTATATAGTATCGTATGTGTTAAATTAGGATATTACCTATTTGTGCACCAAATTTTATTTATATTTTAAATACACAATGGGGACTTAAGGCGATGTAAAAAGCCTTTACAGGTAAATAGTACCTATATACTTGCTTCTTTATTGCCGAAGTTTCCGATTGTGTATTTAAAATATGTGTAAACAACGCGATAGTTTAAAATTAACAAAATTTCATTCAAATTTGCCATTGAAGTGTGTTTGTGTAAGAAACATACAGACATCAAAACACCCAAATATCTTTCATAACTACACTAATATAATAAAAAGGGAAGATTGGATTGTTTAATTGTAACGAATGAACTCAAAATCTCTTCAAACGATTTTAAAAATTCTTTCACCTGTAGAATGCTACATTATCAGCGAGTAACGTAGACTGTATTATTTAAAAAAATCTGTCTTCCCGTGAGAAGCTGCGTCGGATCCTTGGTTTATAAGTAAATTTTGTTTACTAATTTCTTGAAATTTATTTTAAAAGAAATTGAAATTGAATGTCATAAATAACTATACTCGTAACGCTGATAAATCAAAGCTATAATAACTATAAATTAGACAAATTGCTAAGATATGTACGTACATACGTATGTGGCAATCACTATTCCTAGCAGTAAGCAGGAGGTTATCTCATAAATAAATTAAAAGCGATAGATCAAACAACTTATTATACGATGTATATATACATATACTAAATTTTGTTATTTATTTTAATTCTTTTTACATTGCTTCAAAGTAATACAGGCGTTTTATAGACTTTCGTTTTGTGCGTGTGATGTTAGTGATACGTATAAAATTCATAAATAATTCAAATACATATTTGTATCCATCTAATGTACTTAATTATCCACATCGATTTTTACAGAAGTACCTACATTTATTACGTCTAAAGAAGACTCATTATTAAAATAAATATCGGTCGGAAAAAAGTAAGCAGCACTCACCTAGAGTGGAGAATTCAATTATTAATATCGAATATTATTCAAAGGAAATATTTACTAACAATTTAAAATAAGTTAAAAGTATCTGTCGACCTTCATGCTGTTCCCCCTAAAAACCATCGTGGTTAATTCCTGGCAAATCCACCATGGTAGATCAACTGACCTGACTTCATCCTCCCCTATCATCACTTACCGGGTATCAGTCGGTATAAGTTGGCGAGGTCCTCAGCTTATACCGATGTAGGCGAGGTTACAATTTTATTATCGTCGTATCAAAAAGTCCTCTTTTTCTATTAGTACTTATTTATCGCCCTTAAGATTGTTATGTTTATATTTTTTTTCTTTATGATCAACAGATTTAAATCTAGATTTAGATTCTATTTTAGATGTTTCCTCCCACGAACACTCAGGTTGTAGAATGAGCTCCCTGCCGAAGTTTTCCCAAGAGACTACAGCATGGGGTTCTTCAAAAGGGGAGTAAAGAGGTTTCTTCAGGGTCGGCAACGCACGCGTAATACCTCTGGTATTGCAGGTGTTCATAGGCTATGGTAACCACTTACAATCAGGTGGGCCGTATGCTTGTTTGCCACGTCAGTGGTATAAAAAAAATCTAAATCTATTGATCATAGCAATACCTTATACTTTTATAAATTGGTATTGCCATTATATTATTGTATTATACTAGCGATATTGTAGCGGCTTCGTGCGAGTAGACTGATATACAGATAAATTACTATTTTAATAGACAAACTTTTGATACTGTTGTAATTTTAGTAGAGTTAGTTGAATTTTATTGAAAATAATATGTTACTTATAGATTTTAAGATATATATCTACATGATGGCCCTATACAAAGAATTCGAGATAATAAATGTGATTAAATCCTAAACATTGCGATTATATGATGCTGTATAATGAAGTCGATTGTGATTTCGATGTATAATACATAATCCACAATATTGGAAACTTCAAGGTACTCAAAAGTCTGCAACTTGGAGGAACTTGTTACAACCGCAACCGGCTGTTTTGGGTGTTCATGGCAAGATGATCGATTGAATGCATAGAAGAGCACAGAAACGTTTGTGGAAACTTTTGATTAAAGTTGCTATAGCTAATGATATTATATGAACGTTTATACTAAATCCGATGAAACTTTTTAGATTTATATAACAAGAATCCGTCAATCATGCATTTGGCTTCATCATCATCATACCAGCTTTTAACTGTCCACTGACTTGATCTTATTAAATAACGATAGCAAATAACTGTTATTTCGCTATAAATTTTTATAACTGTCCTTGGCTTTAAGAATTAATTATTTAGCAATTTATTATTGCACATTTTTAAGAAATAATCAAAGCTTTTTTTTTATTGCAAGACATAGCAAACAAATTTGTGATCCCCAATTTTAGTCTTTTCACACCATAGATGGCAGCTCTTATTTTTAACCGACTAAAAAAAGAGGGAGGTTCTGAATTCGGTTATACTTTTTTACCTCATAACTCCGTCAGTCATTAACCGATTTACAAAATACTTTCCCTTATCTGAAAAATTATATTTACAGATACATGCTATTGATGTCACAAATTATATTGTAATGCTTGTAGTAATTCATAGGAATGAGTTTATATTTTCTTTTATTTGTTTAAACAATTTACAGAGGTGTGGATCTGAATGGTATTACATATTGTAATAGTACAGTCAATTACAGATTCTTACAGTTAAGAATTATAATAAAATGAAGACGTGATAAGTAAAACGTGACAACAATAAAAATTTATAAAAGTACGTATATTTCCACGACTATAATCCTAATGGGGCATTTGTCAATTATTGCCGCTGTAGTGAACGTTATAATGAACCAAATATCTTAAACTTTAATTCATGCATTATCAAAAACTAAGTACCTAGATTTTATATTTTTTTTATAGATTCACAATAAAAAAATTACATTTTCAGCCAAAACAGTGGGGAATACACCATAACGCATGTAATGCTACATTACGACAACACAAGTCACATAAAACTACGAATAGTGTGAATGCGTGAATATGTTTTGTTTTATTTCATATAATAATATCAATTTGACTTATGTTGAGTATGAAACTAAGATCAAACATTCATTACAGCAGTTTCAACTGATAAACTTTAAACCTAGAGCGTTCTTGTCACTGTATCGAGCATCATGCTGATTTCTTATCGCATGTCGAGAGTTTCTTGTTTGTCTAGATTAATCCAACCGGATTACCTAAGTTTAGTATAAATAGCCCTACGTCTATGTTACATACATACATACATATCTGTCACGCCTGTCTCCCATTAGGGTAGGCAGAAACAATGGAACGCCAAATGCTTCGTTTCAAACAAACCTCTTTCGCTTCTTCCACATTCATCAATCTTGTCATACACGCTCGTCGGTTACGGGTACTTTTAATTTGATCCTTCTTCAGCACGTCGCCTATTTGGTCGACATACGTCCGTCTAGGGCGGCCCCTACCGACATCTCCATTCATTCTTGCTCGATAAATCTCTTACGTCTATCTTAATATCTAAATATCGTGTACTTTATATGACATTTAAAGACGTAAATTAATTTACACTTCAGTCAGAAGTTAACATGAATTAATTTATAGATTTGAAATTTGGCAACAACATTTGAGATTTTGTCCCACTCTGCATGTTCTACCACTTGAACAAAAGAATGTGCTCAGAGGAATTGTTCAATATCGACGGAGAGTCATACCTTAGAATCTAGATGGTCGCGTATAGCGCGCTTTAAGATTTTTTTTCTCCCACAAACGCTCAGGTTATGGAATGAGCTCCGTTTCGAGGTTTATCTAGGAGACTACAGCATAAGGTTCTACAAAAAAGGATAAAGAGGTTCCTTCAGGGTCGATAACGTGCACGTAATGCTGTTGGAATTGGAGATGTCCATGGGCTACGGATAGTAGATGATACGGTAATCATTTGTCATCAAGTGGGCCGTATACTTGTTTACACAACAGTGTGTTATGTCAGAATGATGATAAAGTCGATAGTAGTACAGTCCAGTCTATCATTTATCCATTAATTATTATGAAACAATTTGAAATCTATCAAGGTTTTTATAAGAGGAAAATTTCTTCAAATACCAGTGGAAAAAGCTAAGCAAGCATAGATACTTAGCGTAAAGACACACGAAGTAAAAGTAAATGCAGACGATTTTATAAAAGTCTCCTTCTCGTATAAAATTAGACATATTTTATTATAGGTAAATCAATTTGTTAATGTAAATAGAACATTCGAATAATTGTAAATGAATAAAAAAGTTTCCAGTTTTAAATAAGTTTTAAGTCGTATAGACATTAAACATTTGATGTACCTACGAAGAGAACAATTAAATTTTCTTGAGTATAATAATGAAAAAAGTACACTCCTCGCAAAAATTAAGAGAACATAAAAATTTTTGAAATTTTTGGGTGATTTTCAACAGGCTGTATTTCAGTGAAAAATAATCGTACAGGAAATTTAAAAAAAGGGTTTTGAAGCTTGAAAACTCTAGTTTTCAGATTTTTTGGTGAAAAAATTTTTTGAGCTCCGGTTTCCATGCAATTATTAAACAAAGCTGAAAATAATTTTTTTCTAAATGTTCTAGGTTTCGTTTTTCACTCTATGGGCATGGAAAAATTTTTTCGAGCTACTCCATTGTATAGGTCTCTTAGCGTGTTTATTCAGCTTCAAAAATCGCTTTGTATGGCTCAATTACGACCATTTGTCTCCGAGATATCGAACTTTGAATGCAAAAGCATCCTTTTCCATTCAACTGCTAATATCTCTGGAACTACTGGTCGCACAGCAAGCGGGCGCCGAGTTTCTTTATCTGCATAAAATTTCCAATTAAGCACAGTCAAGAGTTAGTGAAGAAAAAAATTTTTTCCACCTCTAACATTGAATTGAAAAAAGTGGAAAAAAGTGACTTTTTCTCCTTTTTTGGTTACTTGGCTGTATCTTCGCTAATATGGGCGGGAAAACTAAGGTTTGAGGAAAATTTTACAGTCTATTGTTCCTTAAAGAACCCCCTAAATCCCTGGAGCGTAAGCACAAAAGAAGCGTAAATCCGACCGTGCAACCTCCACGTGGTATGCTTTGGGTAACGCTAATGCCGGCGGTAAATCGATCATCAATCAAAGTTTTTGTCAAAAACTTTGATTTCCTTAAAAACGAAAAAACAATTTTTTGTAAATATTTTCGACTTTTCAAAAAAAAATTTTTCTTAAAAATTTTCTTGATTTTTTTCGATTTTTTTTGATAATGAATTTTTAAAAAACAAAACATTGAGTAAAAAGTGAAAAACAAATGAAATTATTGATTTTTGAATGGATTACGGTGAGTTTAAGGGACAAAAACCTTGTTCCCTTATTTTTTCCAAAATTTCAATCAATTGGTCCGGGAAAAACCGTTGAACCGATCGCTCCAGGGATTTAGGGGGTTCTTTAAGGAACAATAGACTGTAAAATTTTCCTCAAACCTTAGCTTTCCCGCCCATATTAGCGAAGATACAGCCAAGTAACCAAAAAAGGAGAAAAAGTCACTTTTTTCCACTTCTTTCAATTCAATGTTAGAGGTGGAAAAAATTTTTTTCTTCACTAACTCTTGTCTGTGCTTAATTGAAAATTTTATGCAGATAAAGAAACTCGGCGCCCGCTTGCTGTGCGACCAGTAGTTCCAGGGATATTAGCAGTTGAATGGAAAAGGATGCTTTTGCATTCAAAGTTCGATATCTCGGAGACAAATGGTCGTAATTGAGCCATCCAAAGCGATTTTTGAAGCTGAATAAACACGCTAAGAGACCTATACAATGGAGTAGCTCGAAAAAATTTTTCCATGCCCATAGAGTGAAAAACGAAACCTAGAACATTTAGAAAAAAAATATTTTCAGCTTTGTTTAATAATTGCATGGAAACCGGAGCTCAAAAAATTTTTTCACCAAAAAATCTGAAAACTAGAGTTTTCAAGCTTCAAAACCCTTTTTTTAAATTTCCTGTACGATTATTTTTCACTGAAATACAGCCTGTTGAAAATCACCCAAAAATTTCAAAAATTTTTATGTTCCCTTAATTTTTGCGAGGAGTGTAGATGATGTAGCTGATTCGTAGCTAACATATCTTTTATATCCGTATTAAACAGAATCTCATTGCTGATGCAGATGTGGGACCGAACAAAACGTCTCATGACTATAAACAAAGACAAACCGACACACAGAAAGAGTTTTCCTTATGGCCCTTACGTAACGATTATTACGCTATCAATTACATCAAGGAACACCGCAGTAAGTAGAATGGTTTAATTACAATGAAGTAATAGTAACTAAAATAACCCACATCATCTACACAACTAAAGGCGTCGGGTAATTTCTCTTACTGAATGATCTACTAGGAATTCGGAATCGTTAGGTTTAATTTCGCGTAGCTTGAGTATTGCTGTAAAAGTTATTTCACTTTGAAATGTAGTAAGCACAAGTTCAGTTGAAAATCAAGACCCTTTAGAAGTAGGAACTATGTAGTTCAGTTTAGGAGGTTTTAACGTAGCAATGATCTCTATTACAAGAGAAAAGCAATAAGTACGAATAAAAGCAAGTCACTGTGAAGAAAACTATAGGATTGCTACGAATAAAGAAATGAAGAAGCTACAAAAGGAAGACAGAAGTTATAATAGCCAGAAAGAAGATATAGGGAAACGAGAACAACTTGGAAATTAACGCTTAAAGGCAACCTATAATCTATATAGGTAAATGTTGAAAAGAGGATGCTAAGTGATTGAGTGACTGATATATATATTAACTCATAACCGAAACCACTGAATCTAGAATCTCGAAATTTTGCAGATAGGTTTCTTATATAGTGTAGATATTCAATATGAAACGAATTTTGAAAATTTAACCCCGAAAAGGGTAAAACGGGGTTCGAAATATTGTATGGAATTTCGTCAGTTTAAATGTTAGACACATGAAATTTTATAGAACAAAAAATTGAATATTACATGTGAGCGAACCTGCAAGCAAAATCTAGTGAAAAAATAAGTCGGCGAGAACGTTGTCGCGAACCATTTTCTACTATTGTCGTCTTTATAACATTTCCACTATATTCATACGTATTATTAATTTGGTCCATACGGACAACCTTTGCATTTTATAAACTTTTTATCCATAAGAATAAACAACGCAAGTACAAATGTTTGTAATTTTATTTTATTACCAAAAAGTTGAATAGGTCTTAGGTTTTATTCAACCTATGCAGTAATGATTGCCACAAAAACTATATTGATGATGAGAGAACATTGTATTATATGCCAGAAAACTAAGTTTAACATTCAGTCGAGTAAGGGCGTGTCTTTATACTGTAAATCTGTTTCATAACCAGAAAGTTAGTTGGAAATATATATTTACCTAAGGTTAGTTTTGTCTAAATTCAAACTTACAACCACTGAGATCTATTTGAGTCGGGTTAATAAACGACTACGCTACAACACTCTTGAATAATAAATTTAATCAATATTATTAATGATATTGTAGGTACTGATAACAATCGCGTGTGATTAATGAATTTTGCCTACTGACACGTTACTAATATCTTTACATGTATACGAGTACAGTACAGATTAGTATCTTTATTTGATAAGAATATTATTCATAGAAATATAATAGGTATTTATATTTACCAAAATTATTTCTTTGTTCGATGTATGCCCCTCCCTGGAAATTTGAACTGATTGCTTCATTTGCTTGTGTGATTTGATGTTGACCTGTATGATCAAAATGTTAATTATCTATTTTTACTTCACTTTACTATAACTTAAAAGAACTGATATAATGAATAATAATAATTTAATTAAAAGCAACAAATTACTTTATTTAATTCGTTAATAAACATATGAATATTATTTATATTAAAAATAACATTTTGAGCATTACAGTGTTAAAGTTACATAATAATATCTAAAGTAAAATAAAAATAATAATACATAATAAAGCACTAAATTTATAATAGAAGCAGTCTAGATTTTTTTCTACCAGATGCAATAAAATTTATAAAATACCTTTTTTCTTGATCGTTTGATTGTCTAGTACTGGTTTTTGTGTAGTTGTAAATGCCGATGGTGGCGCTGGTATTTCTGTAATATATAAAGTAGTATAAATACCTAATAATATAAATAAATTAAAGATGTTGTAAAGGAAGGATAAAATTAATAAATAAGGGACCAACAGGAGTAAATATGATCTATCATATCTAATTAATTCTATCAATTGGATGAAGAATCATGAGAACCGTTGCACAGTTAACGAAGATATCGTGTATCATACGCACAAAAATATAGGCGAATTAAGACCATCTTCCTTTTGAAGTAGCAAATAACTTTATGTATTCAGAACATTTGTATCTAGTTAAGTTGTAAAAGATTTATTCTTATTCTAGGTTTATTGTTTTATCCTCAATAAAACTGAAGACGAAGATTTCATAACGCTATACATTTTTGCTAGACTTTAGATGCTATAGCAGTGGCGCCCGATTTTCTCAGAAGTTGAAGGGACGTGGGACGTTGCCAAAGCGTCAACACAAGTAAAATTCCAAATCAATACTGTTATATAGCTAGACACAGAGAAATGAATTCAAATCATATTTTTATAGCTTCCTGTTAATTCTCCAACAGAGAGGGAACCGAGAACAAACGTTCATTAAATTTGGATTGTATTAGTTCTGCTATTATTTCTGGCTTCGTTCATTTTCGTAAATCATTTAATACACGTCAGTTTTGGACGCTGTTGACTTTTCACTAAGCGCATCCAAATTTAAGTCCGTACTTTGTAAAAATTTGACTTTATACACATTAAATGATGACCTCGTTTAATAGAGAATCCATAAAAATCATGTGATAATTTCTAGGATAGGTTAGGTTTAAATAAGATAATGCTTCTAATAGGCTATACTCATACAATAACTAGCTTTTCACCGTAACTTCGTTCGCGTGGGTACCTTTTTAACTTTTTCTCTTTTTTTTCTAACGTAACGTATTTCTAATTTTTAATATTAGGTACATCAATTCATATCGATCATCCACCGCAATAAATCTCTTATAAAATATATTTTATGTACTATGAATATAAAACTGTGATCTAAAACAATCTATGTATATATATATATATATATATATATATATATATATATATATATATATATATATATATATATATATATATATATATATATATATATATATATATATATATATATATATATATATATATACACAACCACAATTACAAAAAGAAAACCATTTTCAATCGTGACAAGACTAGTTATTTTGATGTAAAAATTAAAAAAAACTGATCCGATTTTGACAAAATTTTATTGGACCAATCTGTATACTTATTCAGATGAAAAAATATTTTTTAAATCGGTTTACGACTGACGAAGTTCTAAGGTAACAAACATAAAAAAATATAGTCTAATTGAAAACCTTCTTTTTTGAAGTCGGTTGAAAATTATTTGAATTCTGATCATATTCTGAATAATTGACTTTGGACATGCCTATTCCAACCAAACTTGTTTGATTTAATGATAAGATGAAAAATTAAAATTTTTAATTATTTTAGATCACAGCTTCAATGTTGAAGATATTACCATCCAGTTTAATGATTCCGTCGGTCTCTCCGAGGGAGTTTTTTGCGATGCAATTGTAAAATCCGAAGTCTTCCTTTGTAATGTTCCGTATCTTGAGCATCATGAATTTGTTGTAGCCGCTGTCCATCGGGAACGCCTCATATTTACCACCTACAATTTCCATTTCTACTTAAATATAAAAACTGCTTGTGTTACAACTACTCGTGTTATTTTATTTTTAAATAATAATATACAATTTTATGGATATAATAATTTGTTAGTTTATTGCATATTATTATTACATGATTCCAATATGTAGTAAGCTTTAATTGAACATAAAAATAATTCAAGATATAACTTAGAAAATAAAATAATAAAATTAATTAGACTAACTCGAAATATTGCATATTTATTCGGCAAGTTCGAGTAACATACACAAAAAAAAACCATCAAATTAGAAATCTCTTCCTTCAATCATAAATAATTATCTTTTTGTGGCTTAAAAGAAATGATTTTATTAAAAAAATATGATTAAGTATTTTATAAATTTTAAATAAAACATGATGGTATTTAAAAACAGAACAGTATCCTGCGCTCTCACTACAATGAGAACATTTGAATTGAACGGGAATAAAGCTATTCGTATTTACCCTGACACAGGGCGAACTATTTTCATTATAAAGTCATAATTTAGTGATGCTATCGACTTCTATACTTGACTGAAACACATGTTATTAACTCGACTGAATGATAAATGGTATTGTGTATAATATTCAAGCACTGGATGTGCTTTATAATTACGCCTTATTTATTGGTGGTTCATTGACATTATTTTTGATATTTTTATTGATGAACGGTTCCATTTTAATTTTAGATTATATAGATAGAGTAAGGTAAAGGATTGTATAGGTAGAGAGATAAAACAGGTTAACTTTTTTATCTATGTGTATGCGAATAGGGTTACCACAAATGTGCAATTTATTACTTAGTATATGGGAGAAATTATATTGTTTAGTTAAATTGAAAAATAAAAATGATTTTCGTTCATTAAATCATTGAAAATGACCCCTATTTTAATTAATATACCTTTATTAATTTGCAAGCAATGCGTACATATATATGCATTATAATATAAAAAAAATTACCAATTAAAACTTTAAAAACCTGATCTGGAAATTTTTTAATTATTTGAAACAAGTGCATTTTGATATGATTTAAAAAACTAGTCAACCAAATGTTAAATTAGCTGATTAAATTTTAACAGATTTTTGATACTCTATGTTCTATAAAATTTAAGATTTTTAGTCAAATTAATTTGTATAAAATTATTTTTATATTATAAGCTGTATGCTTTGCTAAAGATATTGTTTTATTTTTTTATATTACATATAGACAATATCCAAAACAGTATATTAAATTTAAAGTGTAAATGTAGATATAAATATTTGTCATAATACATGTGATATAGTATTACTATATACTTTGTGTCAATACAGTTTCGTATGTATGTAAACAATGTGAGATACATTATCATATTATTTACTTAACATCAGGTGGGGTAATAATGAACCTCTTCAAAATGAATTATTGTGTAACAATAATTAAAGCATACATAGAGATTGCTCTAAATATATATACAATAATAAAACATTAGATTTATCATTGTATATATTTACAGCGATAACTATATCAAAGTGACGCACATCTATAGATTTAGTACTTTTATGAGTATATAATTTTCCTGTTATTTTATTTTTTATTTATAAAAAATACAATGGGGCCGATTTTGAAGCGTGATTTCTTTAAACTTATCTGTTAAGCTAATATTTTATAATAATTTGACAGTTTCGCGATAACACTATATTTAAACAGATATATATTTTGCTGTAAATATCAAATTGAAATTTTAATTTTGGAGATAAGTTAGAAAAATAGTGTTTCAGAATTGACTCCAATGATCTACGTTGAACGGAACAAACACAATTAATTACGTTAAAATTCATTAAAATAATTTCAAAATAAAATAAAGTATAACGCAAATTGAATTATAGATAAGCTGAGTTCCAACAAAAAAATTACAACACTAGTATTTTTTTTCTTATGAAACTTATTTTAGGAAACAATGATAATATAGTTCTCATTTAAAAGAAATATCTGAGCTTGAGTTTTAACTAATAATAATTTTAAAATAGTAAGTTATATTATGATGAAAATCTTACCGGAAATTATCATATCCCCTCGGTCCGTGGTCCAGTAGTTTATAGAAGATGGAAATGCTTCGGTATGACATTCTAATGTTACATCTTGTCCTATATATGCCCCTTCTAATTGATTTGGAATTGACAGCATCGGTGGAACTATTAAGAAAAAAACATTATTAAAAAATACTATTTTATCAAATTTAATTTATAATTTTTACAGTGATTACTGGAAATAATCATAACAAAGTGATTTTCACTAGCAATGACTTAATATCACACCGTCTACTATTTGCTATAGAAAATTAATTATGAATTTTATTATCAGTACGGTGAAGTTTCTATTCACTCGCCTTTTACGGTCCAGTCGACTGTCATGAACGATAAGCCGACTATGATTTAATTTGGCTATTAACCAAGCGCCGTCGATAAATATGACAACTTATGATACTTTAAATATGACAACGATTATTTACGATTTTTTACTTAGTACGACTTCCAATAGTGTACATCAGTGTTTTTCAATCTTTTTTATGACGCGACCCCCTTATTATGTAAACATATCTTGCGACCCCCTTAGTATGTAAAAATAACTTGCAACCCCCTACCCTCCACGGTTTCGAATGTGTTTTAAAAATAATTATTATAGTACAATTATGAAATCCGTACAGTTGTATTTATATTCACAGTTAGGTATCGATAAAATAAAATAAATAATACATAATAAAGTATCTAAAACAGACATGTAATCGATGTCTGTTATAGATACTTCATTATGTATTATTGATTGATTGTTGTATTTACAGAACTGTTGATTTTTCACTGCTTCACGACCTTCCACGATCCGCTTGTAGAGGCTCGGGGACCCCCCAAGCGGTCGTGACTCACACTTTGAAAAACACTGGTCTACATAAAGGGAGAAGAAAATGTGACGTACGATTTTATATATTTATCTGTGAAATGTGCAAAGTATAAAAATACGAATTACATAGATCCATCAGTTAATGTGTAGGTACCCGTGAAATTAAATAACAAGTGATATTTCTAATATTAAGTATTAGAACATAATGTGATACTATTTAACAGATACTATTACGAGTAAAAACAATAAGCAATATTTATTATAATAATAATAATTAATTTTTATTTCTTATAAATATCTTTAACGTTTCGATGCAAAATCTATCTAGACAGACACAAGTATTAACGTATCTGAATAAAATTATAATCGTCAATTATCCTTATTATATCAAATGTCAACCACTGTTTTTCTACAAAAGGTTCTCAGAAAATAACTAAATTTGCTAAATAAAATTTTAATATAATTGCAGGGATTTTTTTTTTGTATTCAGAAAATAAACACGTATTAGAATAAAAACCCACTTAAAGACTTAAATAAATTGAACATCTCTCTGTAAATTTTAACATAATTTTGTTTGCATAAGATTTTATTGCAAAGCTTCTTCTTGAAAAAATATAGTAACTGCGTCGATTTTAATATAGAATTTTTTTTAAATATAAATTTTAAAAAACATGTTACGCTTAACGTATAACTTAACATAACTATATTTTGAATATATGTACTTTGTAAATTTATTCATAAAATAAATTTATATTGATTCATAATCTGCGAATAGTATTAACAAATTAATATCAAATACATTCATTTTATTGTTGAGCCTTTTTATCATAAAATAAAAGTAAAAATAAAATAAATTACTAAAGTGTAAATATACTTCAACAATTATTGATTTTTGTTGAAATTAAATATGTAAATCTGCAGATTTCTTAATCGATAAAATTTTGCAATAAATTTAACTATATTTTTGTCAATTTTAACTAAATTGAATTTCATAAGCACTACAATGCTAATGAAGTAGGTATTATCACTTTACGCCACATCTCAGAATGGGTACGTGAATAGATTAATTCTTGATGTCTGTTTGCATTAACACAAGCCCACCAATTAGTTGTATGTACATTACACCACTATAATTATGTATTTACTCACACTGAACCATGAGCATGATCCGTTTACTAATCGATGGCGGAACACCGTTGGATGCGATACACAGGTACGCTCCCATGTGTAAACGGGACACCTTCGTTATCGTCAAGGTTTCACCATCCACTACGCTCACTGTTAACATAAACAAAGAAAATCGTTTTCACACGTTGAATATTTAAATTATTATCGAATAAAGGTAAATGTCTATACTAATATTATAAAGAGGATAGATTTGTTTGTTTTTTGTTTATAATAGACAAACTGAAAAATATATAGTCATCTGATTTTATATATACATATTTCGTATTATGTTTCGAAAATTCTATCTACCCGTGCTAAGTCGGGCTGGACCTATAGTAGACTTTTATAATAAGTTGACACGTGATGTGATGGTACATCATATGTTTGCAGACACAGCAGGTCTACCATGAAATGAAATCCCGAAATTTCGGACTCAATTTCGTATTTTTGTTGATACCAAAATCGGATCAATAAATAGAGTTTAACATTTCCTTTGTCATACATCCTATCATAAAAGTCCAAAGGAACAATATTTTAACATTTTTAATATGTCGAAACGGCATGTTTTGTGTAATTTTAACATCAAATTTGTGTTTCGTTTGGCTCCGAAATTTCGGAAAACATTTCATGGTAGGCCCTCAGGATTTGGTGTACGATTTATAAACAGGCTCAACCAATTAGTAAGGAGAACCTAGTTTATCACTTGACTCTGCTATGTCAGTTTGTATAATAATTATCAACCAACTTCAAAAACAGGGCAGTTTTGAATTCGGTTGTATTATTTTATGTTTGTAACCTCATAAATAAATATCATAATTCCATCAGTTGTAAAACAATTTGGAAAATTATTTTATTATCTGAAAGGATATACATACAGACTGATTTCATAGAAATTTTATCAAAATCGATTCAGTAGATTAGTTTTACAATATATCTGGTTTGCCAAAACTGAAGTCGGTTCTGTTTGGAACCGTAGTACATTATGCAGTCTATGGTGGAACACGATCTTAAATTATTTTTAAGTAGTTTTTAACCTCGAGATTGTTCGCGTGATCGGGATGTACTTATTGACCGGGATTAAAACTATCCTGTCCTTTTTCATCCAAAATTTTATAATGAGCCGTCAAGATGCCAAGAAGAAACAAAAACATAGTCACTATCATATTTACAATATTACTAAGAATGAAAATGTATGCATGTATGTATCTAAATAGCTGGCTTTAGCTTTCCTTGACCTTCTCTGCTAGTTACCAATTAGTATGTCGCTTAGGCGTTGCCATTCCCAGAGTCAAAAACAATTCAACAGTTTTCAATGTTTTTAATTGAATTAAAAAGTGCTCTGCTAGCAAACTAAAACGTTAATCGTAGAATACGTTGCTTATAAATCCACCACTAAAAATTTTGCACTTCATTCACAATTTTGCTGATTTTTTCAAATACTTTTTTGCTATCAAATGCAAATTTTTAGTGAGAACTAAATGAAAAAAATATTGCACGACCGTTTTTAAATAATTAAACAGATTAACGAAAATTGTTAAATTGTTTTCGAAAATTGGCAGATAATTACAACGTTGCCAAACAGTTAAAGTATGAACCCTTTTAATATATTATACTTCTTTACCCTGTACTTGATGTATGTTATGTATCCATCCTTAAAATCGTAAAACAGTCGCGCCAGTACAATTATTTAGAAATTAATTAGAAACACGGATGGGACAAAGGTAGGGGTGGGTACCATCTATATATTGGTATATAATAATGAATATATCAATATAGATATTTTTTTATACTACTGTGGTGGCAAACAAGCATACGTCCCGCCTGATAGTAAACGGGGTTACCGTTACCTATAGACGTCAGTAATACCAGGAATGTCATGCGTGCGTTGCCGACTGCTAAGAAACTTTATTATAGCGGCTCCATTGCTATATACCCTATCAGGTCGATTTTCCCTGGAAACTATTGTGGTTAACAATTGTTGAATCAGTCAGGGCAGGCTAAATGACCTACTTCATCCTCAATCATCACCCCTCACTGGTACAACGACAGTTTAGTTCGATAGCGCAGTCACTATTTTATTTTCATCCATTAAAAAAAGTCTCTAGGAAAAACTTCGGCAAGAAGATTACTCTACAACTTGAGCGTTCACTGGAGGTAGTTTCTCCGAAACCACACTGTGCGTGACTATTTTAGTTTTATGTTGTGAGGATGAATTCCCTGCCGATGGCGAGTGATGCGATGGTAAAAGGTGGCTGAAGCATTAATGAACTGTTAAAGGCACTAACATATTCTACAACAAAAACTACTTTCAAAATAAATTTCTTTTATTTAATGTTGTTGGCGACAGAACTCTTTTTATATAATTTACCTTTTTAGCATTATATTTTTATATTATGAATATGTCTTTTTGATACTTATTTTGTTTTTCTACTTGATTGACATATTATATTGTTGTTATATTGTATGAAGTGTGTACGTCTAAGAAAATATATTGGTAAGCCTCTCTTTATAATATTATTTTATTATTGTCGCTGCCCTCCTCTCCAACCAGCGCCGTTTTCATTGGTCCTTCGAGCCGGATCAACGAAGCCCGCGAACTCCACTTCAAGTCGCCGATGCCGCAACCTTCGCAACTTCCACATTCAACTATTCATAACTCTCATACACATACACACACTTTAGGTACACAAAACATATCATTTGATTGTATACAAAATAAAAATAAGCTCGTAGCGTTTAACACTCTTCATCATCAACCCAGTGATTTCTTGAAGTTGGCTGAGCATATTACTGAAGTCGCTCGTGGGAACAATGGAAAACCTAATTCAGGTAATGTAGTTAGCCGACCTATGTTTTTCGGTTCGCCGCTTTCCCATTGGCCAACTTTCAAATCGTCATTGTCAAATTTCAAACATTTGTTCATGGCGACGGAAACCATAGGTCTATCAAGCTCTCTCTCTGCTCTCCGTAGAGCCGCACGTGACGCTGTTATTTCTCTTCTGGCTTTGTCACAAGACCCAGAAGAGATCATGGCGACTCTGCAAGAGCAATTTGGCCAACCTGACCTTCTGATACGTCGACTAGTATCACAAGCGAAAGGCATGGCCAAGCTGCTTGCATCTGATGGTAAGGAACTACACCAGTTAGCTTGTGCGGTACACAATTGTGTCCACCCTATAAATATATTAGATTCTGTAAAGTTCCTCGCCTCCCCAGAGTTGTTCAAATACGTCAACGATGGCGTATGTTATACCACCATCCCCCCAAAAGGTAAGGTAGTGTCATCTATCGTAGCTACTGACCTATTCAAAATTTCTGCTGTAAACGATAGATGGCATTGGGTTAAAAATAATATTTATTTTAGTGGAAATTTTTATCACGAGTTGCCTCGTAGCCGACCTAATTTTATCCAATGCCTTTCGAGGCCACCAAGAGGTAAGGGAAAAGTAGAGGGAGAACTTGCCTCTATGACTGTGGCACACGTAGACAGTTGGAGCTACAGACGGCTCACATGGCTACTCGATTTACAATTTTTATCCTGGAAACACATCATTGAATGTTTTTTGATGTAGATGTCATTGGCACTACAAGCCAACGACACTAACATCTCCGGTGGTCGCGAATCCTAATCATTTCGATCGATGAATTCTGTTGATTAGGACAACTGTTCGTGCACATTATTGCCAAGAATTTTCGTTTTTTATTAGAAAAGCCTCCAAATTAAAAAATTATAAAGCGCCGCCTCCGAGGTTTTTTTCCAAAATTTTGTCTCCTCTTTTAAATAAAGAAATTTCGGAGGCTGAAAGGCACCTTTTTACAGCAGGTCTTTTCTCAACCAATCAAGAAGGCTTGAAAACATAATCTTGATATTGAGAGAGGATGATTCTATTCATTTGAATCGAAGAATTTGTATAATTTTATTGTAAATGTTTAATATTTTGTTAATGTTTAATATTGTATAATTTTAGAACCTCCCATGCAGTCAACTTATATATTACATAATAGTAGTGTTCTAACATCAGGTCTGTTGCCAAATAATGTTATTATTTTTTTGAATAGTTATTAAGCTTCTCCCGTCTGCGCCACAATCATCATCAGCGCCCGTTCTCTTTCACCAGTCTTGATTATTTTGAATTTAACGCTGGGTAGCTTTATCTTCGTGCCTCACCACCCGAGCTGTTTACCTGGAAATTGTGAAAAGCCTTTCTGTGGATGCTGCCGATATGGATCTTAGAAGATTTATCGCCCATCGAAGATTGTTTCCGAAACGGTTAACGGTTTTTGTCGGTGCAGCGAACCAACTTGCCAAGGTTTTTGTTTTTACAGCCAACAACAAGATTGATGAATGATGATTGAGTCCAACAGCACTATCAATGAGTGGCTCCTAGGGACGTCTTTTCAGATTTATCAAGGATACTTTTTCCATAACTTTGCTACAGAAAGCACCAACGGAAGAAGTACACCCAATTCTACTACTAGAAGCAGAGGTGCTAATAAATCCACGTCCAGTCCCAGCAGATTTTGAGAAGCCGCCAGCTCTCACAGTGTTTCATTTGCTATTGGATACTCCGTCGACTGAAGCTGTTCGCCCCATACCGACACAGATTTGTACCGTCACCACAACAACAAGATGGAAGTCCGATTGACATGGTGATATTGCTTTTGTCGCCTCCTTAGATTGGTGCTCTGCACCGGGGCGTGCCATGTTGGCGACAGAACTCTTTTTATATAATTTACCTTTTTAGCATTATATTTTTATATTATGAATATGTCTTTTTGATACTTATTTTGTTTTTCTACTTGATTGACATATTATATTGTTGTTATATTGTATAAAGTGTGTACGTCTAAGAAAATATATTGGTAAGCCTCTCTTTATAATATTATTTTATTATTGTCGCTGCCCTCCTCTCCAACCAGCGCCGTTTTCAAATGTATTATTTATTTGAAAAAAATAAAAAGTTATAAAGTGTTAAGTTGGGAGAATATCCTATATATTTATACGTTTCTAAAATTTTTTTTGTCTTAAGAGCTGAGTAGGCGAGTGTGATGTTTTATAGTTCGTGGAAATCCTTATTTGCACCAGTATTGCTTGCCAAAAGAAAATATTTTGATAGTTTCCATGTTAACTATTTATAAGTCAATCTGAATAATGCTGCCCGACTTCTAGTGCATGTAACCATGCGATTGGTATGAAGCTTGATCAATTCAAAACTAAATTTTAAAACATAGGATTAAGGTTTAATTTTCTTACAAATCGCTTCTGGGGCAGCATTGGCTACATGTAAAATATATATATGTATGTATATATATGTTCTTAAATACTGTTACAATAAGAGAGGAGAAGCTTTTAAAATGCTTAGGTACCATTGCAAGAAAGATAAACGGATATTGCATAGATACACGACATGACATTTCAATTTATACATAGTTTTAAAAATTCATTTGTATGATATTATTCTGCACATGATATCTGTAATACTAATAGTATTTAGTACACCTAATGTAATGTAATCCTTATAGTATATATATTATAAGGATAAAATGTAATATAAAAAAACCGGAATATCGCACGACATGAAACTTCCGTTTCAGATACAAATATCATCAAATGGAATTTACGTTCTGATAACTTATCTGTTTGCTGAAATAATATTCCGGTATTTATATAGCACACACCTTTTGTTTTTATAATAGACTATATTTATTTTATATAGGATCAATAACCTTACCTGATTCGCCATTATAATTAAAATCTTGGCCGTCTTCCCGCCGCCACATTACGTAAGGCTCCGGATATCCGGATGCACGACACACCAAGGTTACATCCGAGCCTTCACGTACCACCATATCCGTCGACGTCATATTATCGATGATTGATGGAGGCACTATATAAACCAATCAGGGTGGGTAAGTAAATTATGTTGTACATTGGAAATTCTTAAAAAGCTTAGTTTTTACGCTTATGTGATGCAAAGTAGTAATCGTTCCTTATAGATATGAACAAGCATTCTGAATATCTCATAATATACTGTGATGCCCATGGCATTCTTAATATGTTACTATTTTTGAGGTCTTACTTTGTAATTTTACTGCTACATTCTATCATTCAGATCAAAACACAGCCATGCCAGCAAAATAATTTCACTGTAGAAATACGACTTTGTAGAAAATCTCACTCTTGTAATTATTTTAACTCACCTACGACTTGCAGATATCCCTTTCTAGAGCGCATAGGGTCTGTATTCACTTGACACATGTACCAGCCGCGATCCACCTCCTGCACGTTCTTGATGTGCAGGTACCAGGAGCGGTGGTCGTTGTAGGACAGGCTGATCCGCGGGTTCTGAGTGATTATATTGTGGTGGATACTCAGGATCGTCTGTGTATCCATTCGCACCCAGGCTACCTGTTAGAAATTGTTTCTACATAAATATCATTATTAATTACTCAAATACTTCTAAAGTTATACGTCTACATACGTTTATACCGACATTTTTAAATAAATAAAATTTGTGTATTATATAAAAATAAGGTTTATTTTAGACAACCAGTAGCTGTTAATTTCTGCAAATAACAAATTTGAATAATTTATTATTTATAGCTTGTATTATTAGATCTATTATTAGATGTTAACATTGCTTAAAATAGGTATTAAATCTAATTATAGCATAGCAAATATAGTTTAAAAATGTATACCTTGAATCCCCTTAAGTTATCGACGACGCATGCTAATAAAGCGTCCCTGCCGATCGTAACTGTGACGTTAGGTATGGGTTCAGCAAACCTTGGATACATAGATTCTGAAAAGAAATGTTTGTTTTATGCCGGGCAACTAGTAAACATGTTTACTGAAACTTTTAGATCGATCGGGTGGAGCGAACAAACATGACGTGGAGTGGTAATTTTAGGTGCCAGCGTGTCTGGTGCCGTCGGGGACGGCTATGGCGCATTGGCAGCGACTAGACTTACTGGTGGCGATGACGTCGAAGATACGGACAACGACGGACATGATATATGCGTGACCCACCAACGAAAAATAAATTGTTTACCGTACAAGAAAAACATTACCAGTGATAAAAAAATAATCGTTGCAAATAAGTTAAAAGGTCGCTTAATTATGGCAGATTTTTAATGTGTATACTCACAGATGATTTTAGGCCACAAATCGAAAGAAGAATTTATATTTTTTATAAAAAAATGTATCAATTTCTATATATAGTTATTAGTAATCATAAATTCTTGAATAATAATAAATATTTATAAATATTGAAAAAATTAATTTTTTTATAAATATACTTTTTAAAATAAATATAATATTAATATTATACATTATTCCGAATTAAACTACGAGTTACAGAATAGTAATTTCAGTGGCCTGAATTCAATACATAATAATCAATGATTGTCTTGACGTAAGCAAGTAGTATTTCAATATTCTACTATTCAGATTTCAACAGTAGTATCCAATATTGCTAAGTACTTTGCCAACTAACAGAAAGCATACTATGAAATTTTAGGTATTTCAGCAAGGATTCAAAGGTAGATTGAGAACATGAGTCCAGAACGTTATCGATTACGAATCATTTTGTAAACTATCTTTGCAATCTGTTACCTGTTTTAAAGTTTGAAATGGAAATAGAATCAACTGAGTTATTGTGATGATTTTAATTAAAATTGTAGTTTCCTTGTACCTATTAGAAGTTTCACGACCACTTGGTAAAGTTAGAATGGACGAATAAGAATAAACATCTAGATGACCTTAATTTATTATAGACTCAGGATTTTATGATGAAGAGTAATTATTCACAATGAATAATAAATAATTGAAATAATGAATAATAATAATAATAGTAATTTATTTATTGGAAACAGTAGATATATACCTAATTTGATTTTGGTATATATACTATAGTTATGACTGCATAAAGCTAATGGACTTACCATCTGGGACTTCTATTGGTGCTACAGAGACTACATTTTGTCCGCTAGTTAATTCACGACCTGCAATCAAAATCTTAATTTAAATGAACGTCATAAAGAACTTTTTCGATGTAATTCGATTAAGAGAATAAAACGGGTATGATTAAGAATTTTTAATTAATTATTCAATCTTATTAGCATTCATGAAAATAATCATAATAAAGCATCAGCATAGTAATCTAATAATGTAATAATACTTAAATCAAAGATTTTTAGGTAATTAATAAAAAAATTTAATTACTAAAATTTTTAAAGTTTGTTTGAAACTAAATCAAATGAAAGTCATTTGCTTTAATATTTCAAAATATCCCTTATTTATAAACACGTCAAACTTCTTACAAACCTATGTCAGCTCTCGAAGTGTTTTGTCTTTTCCTTTTGTACTAATTTCTCAATTTGAAAGACAATGACAAAATACTGTAATAGTTAAAATAAGTTTGCAGGATGTTTTAATTTTTATGAATAAGAGGGTAACTTGATATTCGAATACATGTTACAAATACACTTCTCATTACTGCATGGTATGTACAATTTTACATGACACGGTAACATTGTTTTTATTGTTGTCTCTCAACATTCCAGCAAAAATCATGTGATGTGTTAAAAAAATTAAAAGGTTTAGCGTATGTTGTATATTGTTAATGTATCCCAAACGGCATATGCACATTAATTGTCGCTGTCGTCCCTTCGCTACATTAACTAGGATAGGTTTTTGTCGAGAGAAGCGTATGCCATTACGTCTAGCGATGACAGCCCCTCTCCGCTTCTGCGACAGGATTGTTCCATTATCGGCCTGGAGTTATGAATAATTGACGCTCTCGACTACGCTCCGTGGATGCGGTGATGACGTATCAAATTATGGTGATAGCGTGGCGTGATCGCACTTGGAAGCCATTTACTGTTGCGATCGTCAAGTGTGTACCGTTCAATCAGTATATGATATGTTTGTTAATTAATGTATTTAATTGTAAACAGATTCAATTTATGGTCCCTACCATACAAATACCGTACAAATTCTATTAATTTATTATAATCTTAATAATGATATTTCTATAATTTATTTATTGAAGTAAATAGTACCTATTAAAGAAATTGGCACTAGTTATAAATGCGATATAAATATGAACAATTTAAACGATCCTACTTTTGAAGATCATTTCTATATATCAAAATGCTTAATATTTTAGAAGTAATATTTGATCTAGTTTCAATTATTTGAATTGCCAAAATTTTATCTATGATAATTTATTGTGATATTGAAGAAAATCGGATATTCCATTGAGAAATTATGAAGTAAATGCATATGTTTGCTATTTGTAAAGCTGATATATAAAATTGGAATACATTTACATTTGATACAACCTAACAATCATTATAATATCTAAGTATGCACAATAGTTAGTTTTGAAAGGCGTTTTTAAATATTATAAATAGATAATACTAACAGTATTATTATTTTTGAAACTTATGTTCATTATTTAACGAGGTCTATTTACAAGTATATGTATAAAGTGTATATACTTCCGTACAAAGTTGAAACAATTGTCGGAAACGACAAACATACTATACTAGTACAAAAAATCTCGTTTTATATAAACAGTATTATTATAATATTATTTATAGACTAATAAGGATTTAATATAAACATTTGATCAATTATGATCGGATTGATTGTATTCTATCTAATGCAGGATTCATTGAAACCGGTGTGTACACCTGAGATGTGCTAAGAAACTGGATAAAAATTAAAATATGTATATGGATACAGATCTTTGGAATTCGGTTCTCTTTGAGTCCTCCATACAGGATTCGATACGAAGATATATAATTATTGTTGTATCAATAATTCCCTCTATTTTAATATGTAAAATCACTAATTAAGATTAAACCATGCTGGGGCTGACATATCATTATAGAATAAAAGCCCCTAAATAAGAGTGTATATGTAGATAGTATAGAGAATATATATATATATATATATATATATATATATATATATATATACATATATATATATATATATAAAAATAATAACTAACATCTTTGTTATTATGCCACATTAAATTGTAATGATATTTCCTACCTCGGTGTGAAGGGATGCTCGCAACTTCCCAAGCTCTGTTGACACGGGGTCAGTTGCGAGGGTAAACATGCTTCTAGACCAATTGCCAACTTGTTCGTAAGTGGATTGAATTCTAGTAACATTGAGGGGCCCTTACTTATTATAGGTAATTACATCGAAACAACAAAATTCGAAATTGAGTAGACAAGTTAGAAATCAATATACTCATGGAGGACAATGAATTAATAAGCCTAACTCCATTTGTTAATTTATAATCCGAATCAAGTTTTAATAATAGGTAATTACCTACCCATTATGAATATCTTTGAATTTTAAGTATAAAGAAGAAAATAATTAAAATTAATTATTTGTCGTCTATATAACAAACCGATGTATGATTAATTTTTTAAACATATTTATTATGTGTTTATTATGCACAATCTGTCTATAATATAACGAAGAAAATAAAATACATCTTCTAATTTAGCAAGGTAATAAAAATATTAAATAACTTTAGAAAAGATAATTTAAATAAATTAAAGACGCGCTCTGCTATTACGGTGAATTGATTTATGAAAAAAGTTTCACAACCTTAAAACCAATTTAAGAAAACTTTTTTGTTTTACGTGACGCGGGATGGCGGGAAATTTACTAAGTGTCCGATGTTATTTAAATGTTAACTCAAATAATATTAAACAAAGCGTAAATTTCGCTTTAAATGTACATTAACACTGAATATAACTTTTATTGACTGAAAGAATTTATTTTTATCTAGATGGAAATCTGGGATATCATCCACGCGGATCCTATTTCCTCCCTTTCCCGTGGGAAATCCAAAAAGTCTCAGTAGATGTGTACGTCACATAAGAATCTTGCGTGTAAAATTTTCTGTTTATAACTTTACGGTTCTAGTGATTAATCCCTCACAATAGGTAACTTAGTACAAAAATTAAGATTTCATTGCCAATTTTTATGGTAAAATTAACGAATTATTAAGGTGGCTACCAAAATACATTAAATACGAGTATATGTATATCTAATAACATATATATTATAATATATTTTTATTTAAAACAACCTAATGAAGATTTGCAAATGTCAGATACAATCCATTAGGAAAATCACAATGCTGACGGCCAAGTTCCAGTAAAGAAGACACTTTTGAAGAAGAAAAACTAGAATAAGTTCGAGCATGTATAAATTAAAACAATTGTATTGAAACCAAAAGAATTTTTGGCAAATTAATTTCCATTCAATTATATTTCGCGCCAGTTTTATGGCTTCATATAAAAGCTTCGCTACGATCGCTCGGAATCTCGTCAATTTAATAAGTGAATTGTCCTGAAATGTATAACAATGATTGTTTGTCTTGTTTTGTTATTGTGCTGGAATTCTTTTGATTTTTTTTTTATAAATTTCGTCAATGTTTACAAAAGGAAAATTTCCTCGAAAAATGTAATATAATTTTATCATCGGGTTGTATAAAATATAATAACATATTTTAGTATCCTTTTTCTTACATAATAATATTATTTTTACAATGGATATTTATATGACTATTTGAGACTCAGTATTCAAACCTTTTATAGAGATCAAATGGCATATGTTAGTGTGCGTCGGAATAAATAAACGCTGAGACATTGTCAGAAAAAGAATATTCTGCGTTCCTATAATATATCCACTCACCCGTCGACTATTGACCGTCCGACTAGAGAGGGAGGAGAGGAATAGCTAGTTAGTGCGCTGTTAGCGTTTATTGCTAGTATTATACCCTGTCAGCTAGATCTGCACAGGGCTTTTCTTATAGCTGTTGTGGTTAATTCCTAGTGAATTCGCCATGATGGTTCAACTAATCTGACATTCTCATCTTTTTCCCTCTATCAGTTTGTTCGTTATTATATTCCGTTAGCATAAGTGAGTGTATTATAGCATATGATCGGAACTTGAAAATGTATGTCCATAGAATGTCTGCGTAGCACCTATGAGTACGCACACGCGTTCTTGAATTTTATCTAAGTAAAAGAAAGAATTTCAACCAAACCCTAATTAGAGTAACAAACAGGTATACAAATGGATGCAAACGAGAGTTCTTAATTGATATTTTGATTATAACAACTCGTTTCTAACATCTTCGTTTTTAATATCTATCAATTAATAACACAAATGTTGACTTTTTTTTTTTAAAAAAGGAAATTTATAAAAAATATGTTTTTATACGTAATATACTTTGAAACTGATTGCCGATTCAACGCATTTATCAAAATGTTAGGGAAATCTAATGCATAATATACATACAAAAATAGAGTCAAATGGAAAACTTCTTTCTTTTTGATATCAGGTAATATGCTATGTGTTTTTATATGTAATATATCTTGAAAATCAGAAAAAAATGAGCTGGTCACATAGAACCGACAATCAATGATAAAGAAATGTTCTTGAGTGGCGACCTCGTATGGACAAACGCAATCTAGGACGTGGGAGTGACGACCTGAAATGCTTTGCTGAGAGACAGTGGATGCAGGTGACTCAGGACCGTTCAATGGACGGATAATGACTGAAATGATGAATGAAAATGATATCTTGAAATTTATTATCGTTTCAACGCAGTTTACAAAATGCCAAGGAAAGATATTGCTTAATATACATACAAAAAAAAAGTCCAACTGAAAACCTCTTCATTTTCGAAGAATTAGTACTTTAAGTTTTACAATATTTTTTTTTTTTGTAACAAAATAGGGATTAGCAAAATTTGCAATTCTCAAAGGGCGAAGGGAAAAACCGTAGACTAGAGAAAGCTGTTTTCGTCAGACTCTAAGGAATTAACTTAATTACTCTAAGAAAATTAAATAATATAACAGCTACAATTGATGAAGACTGTTATAAATTATTACACAATTATGTATTTAACAACTAGCTGACTCAGCAAATATTGTTTTATCCCTACTGCCATCTATTGGGTCCATTTTTAATTATCCAGATAAAAACTATCTTTTAAGATGAAACAAACAATACACATATACAAAATTTTATTAAAATCGATTGAACAGTTTGTGATATTAGTATGAACGAATATCGTAATATAGGATTTTTGTATATTACGACGAACAGTACATAATCTCTTTTTTTAAATACCTTACCTACCTTTGATACCTTAATTTCACAAAGGATATTGTAAAAGTTATTTATTGATAGCAATCCCTTCCTACGCCATAAATATCATTTGTAAGTATTTTTGTAAACCCTTTAAATGTTTTTTAACATAAATTTCACGTATCTAAGAATTGAAATTGAATCAATATTCAGCAGGATTTAAATTTAATTATGGTCCTTGAGTCCATTTTAAGGTATAAAAAACGTGAAATAATATGCAGTAGCGAATTTTATTAAGTCTATATCTTTAGTTGCATTGTATATCCCACTTTTAAATCTACTGGAATTCATTTACATTCTACTATGACGATGATTTTCCACTACGGTGTAGTGAAGGAAAAAAGAAATTAGGTACCAAGTGCACAATTTATTTTTCTCTAAAATTTTTTATTCAATGACCCCACATTTTGTGAAGTATCCCTCAACTTTAGGATATTATTGATCTTATTTGATAAATTTTTAAGTAACTTTATGAAGGAAGTTCCTAATTCGACTATATCTATTTCTTTTTTTATTGTTAATTTCTGAGTCGTTTTAGATTGTTCTTTTTAAGACGTAATATCCCGTATACATCTTATTGATTTTATCACAAATAAAATTTTAAATTATATTCGTATCGAATAGAAAAGATATACAAAATATCTTTTTTTTCTTCTACCTCATAATTACTTTCAAATTTCATTTATATTTTTGGCAGTCTTTATTAAGATACTTTTTTTTTTATAATATAAACGATATCTATTTAAAATATCTATTTATCGAATTAATGAGTGTTATTAGAAGAAAAAATGCACTATTCTGTTGGCTTATTTACGATCGTCAATCTTATTTTCGTAAGGGCGAGAATTGTTTGTTAGTAACATGAAAAAGAAGATCTCATTGTTGGCAATGGATATCAATGAACCTATCCAGTCAAGTCGGCTTCAATGCAGTCAATTCTTTTGGAAACTATCTTGTTTAATTCTTGGCGAATTCATTAGAATGGGTCAATTGACCTAAATTCATTCTCCCTCATCATGCGTCACTAGTACTTCATGGGTATAAACCGATAGTACAGGCGGAATTTTCTAATAATGATAAAAAAACCTAACTCTCGGAATGTATAAAATCCATTTCATGTTATATAGGTTTTTATTTCAACTATTACTTTAATAGAGTATATCCTCATATCCTACAGCCTAAATGATCGCGTACAACGCGGTTACAAAGATGTTTTCTCCCACAAACACTCAGGTTATGGAATGAGCTCCCTGCCGAGGTTTCCAAAAGACTACAAAAAAGTTTTTCCCAAGAAACTACAGCATGGGGTTCTTCAAAAAGGGGGTAAAGAGGTTTCTTCAGGGTCGGCAACGCGCGCGTAATACCCATGGTATTGCAGGCGTTCATACGCTACGGTAACCACTTACTATCAGGTAGGCCATATGCTTGATAGCCACCTCAGTAGTATAAAATAAATAGAGTAGGGTTGTATATGAACCGTCATTACCAATTTTGTAATTTTGTCACACTATTACCAAGTCTGAAATTTATAATTTAACATTCTTTACTATA